TAAAACTGTTGGAAGGACTGGAGGGACAAAGTTCAGGGAAGGCCATTGCTAGCTCCCAATTGACCACTAGGTTCAGAGAATGACGTACTTGTTACTTCTGGCCAGGTCAACTACTCCAGAAACTGCTTTGATTGTTACACACGCTTGCAGTATCTTAGTGAAGTTGAAAAAGGAAGGTGGAGGATGATATTTTGATTCAGCAGCTTCCAAAATTAACAAGAGATTAATTCGTTCAAAGCATACTGCAAATATTGTAGATACTGAAAAAGAAGAAAAAACAACGTGAAATTTCACTTAATGGCTATATATTTTTTCTCTTAGAACCCTAGGCATGGGCCAGCCCCAGGGCTCACTCGGGAGAGTGAGGCGCTGGGAGCGCCAAGGCCTCGGGTTCGAATCCGACATGGAGATGGCTGGTGCACACACTGGCTGAGCGTGGTGCTGAGCGTGGTGCTGACCACACCTTGCCGAGGGTTGTGATCCCCTTACTGGTCAAATAAAAAAAAAGAACCCTAGGCACATTGCCCTTTTAGCCCATTGCTAATTTGAATTATTTTATGATAACAGCTTGCTCCATACCAAAATTATACTGGCATCCTGCAATGGTTTGGCTCAAGGTATCTAATAAGATCTTTTCGTCTAAGTTAAAGTAATTATTCGATCTGCCTGAAAACTGGCCTGTGGGTCTTTTCTGCTACAAATATAAAGACTCTGCATAAAAGGATTTCTACCATCAGTTATAATACAATTTGGCAGAGGCTTCAAAATTCATCTGTTTCCTGAAATCCTCCTGTCTTGCCTGAGCTTTGCTCCATTAATCTTCCTTCCCTTTCTGGGGATTCCTGGATGGTAATGTTAATTTGAAAAGAAGCATGGAGAGGAAATAACTGAAGGTTATAGAATCCGAGAATGTCATTTGACTCTCTGTTAGGGACTGAATTGTGTTCCCCAAATTTATATGTTGTATCAGTTAGAATTGTGTTCCCCAAATTTATATGTTGTATCAGTTAGAAGTCCTAACCCCCAAAACCTTAGAAACACAAAGACCACAACACACGTGCACTAAAAAGGAACCTAGGTGCAAATGACCAAGAATAGATCTTCCACATGTGGTGCTAGACCAAAAAGGGAAAACTTAAGGGAAAATTGACCTTACTGTGCATGAGCTTTTCCTTCAGAGCCCCTCTCTGCACATGCAAGGAAGCAGAAAGAGCTTGCACCTGCAAAAAGCACCAAACACCTCTTTCTTCCCCACTTTCCTTGAATATTACACCCCTAATTAAGTTGGAGATCCTCTCTCTCATAGAAATCAAGATATATGACCTCTTCCTGAAAAACTACAGTGTTCCTCAATCGCCAGGATGCCCACACACATTTCTGCATGTCCTTTCGCTTTCCAATAAATTTTGAGTGTAGGGCTGAGCCTGGCGCACTCGGGAGAGTGTGGTGCTGGGTGCGCAGCAGCGCTCCCGCCACGGGTTCGGGTCCTATATAGGGATGGCTGGTGCGCTCACTGGCTGAGCGCCGTGCGGCTGGTCTCAAAAAGGACAAAAAAAAAAAAAATTTTTGAGTGTAAATGTGACAGTGCTGTATGGACTTGGAATTATTGTAGGTTCCTGATGGGATTCCTCCCTGGGGAAATCCAAGAACCTGTGTCTCTGACATTAAAACCAAACCTGCCAACAACTTGATCTTGGACTTCCAGCCCCTAGAACTGTGACAAATAAATTTCTGTTATTTAAGCCCCCCAGTCTGTGGCATTTTGTTATGGCAGCCCTAGCAGACTAATACACTACCCTCCCTCCCATTTTTTTGTAGGGGAGGTTGATCGTGTCACGTAATGGTGGTGGCGGTGGTCATGGAAGAGCAGGGGTTGGGGGGGAAATTCTGATTGCTTGACTCCTAATTTTCTTCCACTATATCACATTGCTACTCTACATTTTGGTTTGTTGACCACTCACTTCTAATTTAGTGTCCTGGAATGCAATATTATGAATTAACTTTGCAGAAGTATAAGGTTCTCTAAGTATGCCATCTCACACCTGTGTGCCATATGATAAGATCAGCAATTACGTACCAAGATAGTCCAAATTATGATTTTGCTTGGCCTGTCTCTTAATCCCTCTGAAGTAAGGTCTTTATGATTGTCAGCAATCTGCTATTTCAGAGAGAAATACATGAAATTTCAATTTCTCCCCATGTATATGTGCAGACGTTGCAGTGACAAACTACTTTCATGACCAAATTGATTGGCCTGACTAGACATGCATAAAATGAGATGTACAAGGTCCAATTTACAGTTTGAGCCTTAGGAATATATCATTAAGTATAATACAAACACTGTTATTCTTTATTCTGTTGGGATTTCTTAGAAAGGCACTTCATTATAACTTATTTGAAGAAAATCCAAAGAAAAATACTAAGTCAATAAAAAGTATAAAAGTATACATTATGGAAAAGAAGTTGGGTTTTTGAAAAGTTAGCATGATGCTTTTAATTTAGTATCACAATGTCTACCTGCAATTCTTTTTTCTGGCGGGGGAAGCTGGCCAGTTACCTGCAATTCTTAATGTTAGCTCTTGACTGAGTATTCACCTTTATTACTTGGAAAAGCAAATTGTCACCTGTCCTTTTGGATTATGTGATTTTTCATCATATTTCATTGGCAACAAAAATATATAATTTTTCCTATTATTTAATATTTGAAGCAAGAGATTTTTCCCTTGCTTGCACTTTCTTTGGTCAGCTTCACTAAGATATAATTTAGTAACAATAAAACTCACAGATTTTTTTTTTTCTCCTTTTTGTCTTTTTTTTACTGACCGGTAACGGGATCGCAACCCTCGGTGTCGCACCCGTACCGGGGACCAGCAACAGGATCGCAACCCTCAGTGTCACGCCCGCACCGGCTCAGCCAGTGAGCAGGAACCGGTCTCCACAGGGGATCCGACCCCTCGGCGGGAGTGCCGCCGCACTCCCAAGTGGCGCACTCTCCAGTGCGCCACCGGGCTGGCCCAAAACTCACAGATTTTAAGTGTGCAATTCAGTGTAGATTGACAGATATATATATATATATATATTTTATATACACATATAATTATGTAACCCCTACTACAGTCATGATCTAGAACATTTCCATTATCTTTAAAAGTTCACTTGTGTCCCTTTGGGGTTATCCCCCACTGCCACTTCTGGCCTCTGACAAAGTCTGATCTAATTTTTATCACTGTAATTTTGCCTTTTCTAAAATTTCATATAAATGTAATCATACAGTATGTGGTCTTTTGTGTGCCTGGCTTCTTTCACTTAGCATAATGCTTTTGAGATGCATCCATATTGTTGTGTGTATCAATTTATTTCTTTTTAGTGCTGAGTGATATTTCACTGAATGAATGTACTACAATTAGTTTATCCAAATGGACTTTTTTTTCCAGGTTTTGGTTATTTTGAATAATGTTGCTATGAACATTTGCTTGTAAGTTTTGTATGGACATGTGTTTTCATTTTTTGGGGGGGTAAGTACCTAGGAGTGGAATAGCAGGATTATAAGATAAGTGTGTTTACCTTTATAGAAAACCGCATAACTACTTTTCCAAAGTGGCCTTAACATTTTCAGTTCTCACTAGCAGTGTGAGAGTTGCTGTTGCTCCACAACGACAGTATTATGAATCTTTTAGACTTTAGCCATCCTCCGAGGACCTCAGAACCACGCTCTAACCAATTGAGCTAACTTGCCAACCAGAAAATATGAATTTTTAAATGAAACCTTAAATCGGTTTCCTTTTTGGCCTTTAGGCAACACTCTCCACAGGCCATTATATCCAAAGCATTTAAGTGAAATGCCTGAAATTAAAGGCCTTGGGGCTGGCAGGTTACAGTTTTATATAAATATGTGTATGTGGCCTTGCGAGACTCTTCTAAAGCAGTTGATGACAAAAGACAAAACCAAAAACGGTTATGCACAACCTAGAGAAATAACGTGCACGTGACTTAAAAAGTGTATCAAGATATATGCAAAGGAGAGTCAGAAACAAGATTAGGACAGGAAAGCGCTAAAAATTGTGTTGATTTTTAAATTGTGAGTCTTTGAGGGTACAGAGTATCCTTACTCAACTGGTACCCCCAATGTGTAGTACACTGCATGGTACACAGCAGCAATCAATACATGTTTGCTAAATTTTAAATGAATTGATGGGGGTGGAAGTTTAGAAAGTAAAGCCTGAGTCACGTTATTTTCCTATAAGAAGAGAGAGGAAGTAAAGATTTGGAGGTTTCCATGTTCTATCCCTTTTTAATGCTTATGTGAATTGATGTCTGATTCACTGACGTTTCCTAACTGACCCAGTCCTGCCAAGTTTCACAACCTTCTCGGGTGAAGAATAACATTCTCCAGAATCACCGTATGGCGCCATCTTCCGGCGCTGTGAGGATACTCGGGACTTAAAACCACCACCCTCAGTCGACGTTCTTTAC